CAGGAGACCCCAGCCCTTGCAAGGGGTGTAAGGTCCCAGCAGCGGTGGCTGGATTACAAATGGGGGTGGATTTAGATTCCAGAGCGCATTCCCCGCTGGATTAGGTCTGTGATGGGAAGGGTCGGAGGCAGGTGCTGGATTCCTGTCCCTCTGGGTCGTGACAAACCACAGCCCTTCTGGGAGCTGCCCTGGGGGGAGCTGGGTAAACAGCTGCCCCTCTGAGCCCCCCACCTCGGAAGGATGGGAAGACCCTGGAGCAGCTGGGGATGAAGCAGTCACTGATGGGGGCTGGCTGTTCCCAGGGACATGCTCCCTGCTATGTGCCTGTGTGCATTCCGTGGGGTCTTGCACATGGGTCCCCCTCCAGACCAGTCACCCCAGTGTGGTGGTGGGGAAGCCTGGTGGTCCCGGGGAATGTCCAGCTCCCTGTGTCACCCTGGCCTCCTCCCACACCCACAGGCACCAGCTGAACCAAGCAAGAGCACAGCTCTGTGGTGGCACCTCTCGGGTGAGCTGCTGGCAAGGGCTTGCCAGGGCAGCAGGATGCCCTGGGGCAGCCTTTCCTTGCCTGGAATTGCTCACAGGGATTTTTCCCGGCTGCGCTCCTGCCTTCTCCGAGCAGCCCCCTTACTCCAGTGCCCTCCACTCCTTTGCTGAGGCCTTTGAAGAGCTGGTTTCTATCAGGTTGGATTTTTGCAGGCTGTTCCTCCCGCTCCAGGCTGTCCTGCTGTACGGACTTTCCCATTTTCCTTAGCATATGCGACCCCGGCAGCCACGGAGGCATCGCCAGCCCCCCCCAGCCCACGGTGCAGGGGGTGCTCAGCCCCTGCCCCTGGCAGAGCAGTGCCAGCCTGGCAAAAGCAAAGGGGTAGAAACACCTCCCAGGTTTCCAGTTGCACTGATGACTTTCTGTTGCGCTTTCGGTTCCTCTGCAGCCATCCTGGAGTCGGAAGGCAGTGAGGATGAGGAGGAGGAAGAGGATGATGAGGAGGAAGAGGATGAGGAGGAGGAAGAGTCAGCTGTGGTGCAGGTATCACTCAAAGGCTCATTTTCTGTTTTATTTCCTCCTCCTGCCCCTGTAACTCCGGGGTGATGAAGGGGTGATCCCCTTGTGCCCTTCCCTCCAGCCGTGGCTGCGTGCTGATCACCGGGGTGTCATGGTCACAGCATCCCCAGCATGGCTGGCAGTGTCCAGGTGCCTTGGGGCTCGCCAAGGCAATGCCACGCCAAGGCAATGCCACATGCACATCTTTTGTCATGGTCACAGCATCCCCAGCATGGCTGGCAGTGTCCAGGTGCCTTGGGGCTTGCCAAGGCAATGCCATGCCAAGGCAATGCCACGCCAACACAATGCCACATGTGCATCTTCTCCCCAGCAGCACCCCCCTGTTGGCCAGGAGGTGGGCGAAGCGGAGGAGCGGCTGGCTGAGCTCGAGCAAGGTGAGCCCAGTCCTGTCCCAGTGTCACATCCTGGCACAGTCCCATATGGGGACTTGGAGGTGTCCTCAGCCCCTCACTGGAGCCAGCGGTGATGGGGTCAGTGGGATGTGGGCAGGGAGGAGGGCAGGGTGCCAGCTGAGACCCTTCCACCGGGCACCGAGGGCTGGGTGGGTGCCTGAATCTGGCTTCTGCTGCTGCTGCTGCCAGCATCGCAGGCGCTGCTGGCCGAGCTCTCGGCGCTGGAGACGGAGTTTGAGATCGAGAGGACATGTCGGCAGAGAGCCGAAGCCTACGCAGCCCAGGTAGGGTCGGGCAGCACTCCCCCGCCCCCATTCCTCCCCCAGCACCCCGATGCCCGCAACCCCTTGTGAGGGTGCCAGAGCATCCCCCACTGGCACACCGGGCTCCGTGGTGCAGTAGAAACCCTGCTGCTGGTGAGGGGGTCTCCATCCCACCCCAGGTGAAGCAGGAGAACAAGCAACTGAAGCGGCTCAGCCTGGCCCCGATGGCCGCCCCGGCCCTGCCCAAGGAGGAGCCCCCCGAGGAGGACCCCGACCCTGCTCAGTGCTACAGGCAGCAGTTGGAGGGTGAGTGGGGCTGGGGGGTCCTGGATAAGCCCCAGGCAGAAACGGTGAAGTCAGAGGCAAAGCACTGGCCCCGGCCTGGCTGCCCTGTCCCGTTGTCCCCTAAACCTGGCTCAGCCTGGCCCCGCGGCTGTAGGTTGTGCCTGGGCCTTGTTGTGGGTAAACAATGAGAAAGTGATACTTAAATCAAATGAAAAAAGGTGAAATGAAAGTGCTGTTGCTCGCACTTCCTCCTTTCCCATCCTGTTTTCCCATGTCAGCAATTTCAGCTGTGTCTGCAGATTTGCCTGTCAGTACCAGGAGGGGTCTGGGGGATGTAGCTCTGGGAGGAGGGATGGACCCGTTGCAGGATGCACTCCTCAGGGAAATGCACCCCTTGGAGGGATGCATCCCTTGGGAGAGACGCACTGCTCAGGGAGATGCACTTCTAGGGGAGGATGCACCCCTTGGGGGGATGGCCCACTCCAACAAAACCCCTGTGTTCAGGTAGTGTTGTGACCTTGCCCATGGGCTGACCCTTGGGGGATGTTTGGGGACTGCTTGGAGCATGAGAAAGATGCCAGTTACAGCCCCTGCTGTCCTGTGGGTTCCTACTCCACCCCATTGCCACATGTCTGTCCCTCTGGGTCACCTCCCAGAACAAGCTTCCAACAGGGTCACTGGTTATGCAACAAGGACAGGGTTGAGCTGGGAAGGGGGATGCTGTAGCCCCACCAGCCTGGTCCTCGGGGACCAGCTCTGGGAGGGCTGTACTCCCCTTTCCCACCCTTTGGCTCCACTTTCTCACCTCTTGCTCGTCTTTGTTTCCAGATCTGCAGGAGAAGATTTCCTGGCTGCTGGAGCAGCGGAAGGACCTCACCATCCAGGTCCAGGAGCTGCAGAGGCAGAACCAGGACCTGAAGGACCAGGTATCTCCTGGGATCCTCACTGGGATGCCCCAGCCAAGCAGGAAACCCCCTGGGGCAGCCTCTCCTTTGATCAGCCTCCCTGTTTCCCTTCTTCCATGGCTTCTGCTCATCCTTGTAGCTCCTTACCAAGCTCAGGACAGTTTTTTTGAGAGATAAGACCCTCCTGTGCAGCCCCTCACCATCTCCCTGATGTCTTGGGGAGGTGGGCTGGGCATGGGGGGGCCCCCCAGCTGAGCCCGGGGCTAAGCCAAGGCTTGCTTGTCCTGCTGCAGCTGGAGATGGGACAGGAGGAGCGGCAGCGCCTGCGGGCAGCCCTGGGCACCAGCCAGCGGGCACTGAAGTCCTTCAAGAGAGGTGAGTTGGGTGCTGGGCCCCCATGGCCGTGTCCCCTCCCTGTCTTGCTGCGCCCTGGCAAGCCGGCAGAGGAACAACTAGCAGCTCCCTAATGCCACCAGTGCCACCCAGTCTGGTGAACTGGTGAAGCCGAAGGCAAAGGTGCAGCACTGGGAGCTGCAGCCGGGCTTGCTTGTCCTGCTGCAGCTGGAGATGGGACAGGAGGAGCGGCAGCGCCTGCGGGCAGCCCTGGGCACCAGCCAGCGGGCACTGAAGTCCTTCAAGAGAGGTGAGTTGGGTGCTGGGCCCCCATGGCCGTGTCCCCTCCCTGTCTTGCTGCGCCCTGGCAAGCCGGCAGAGGAACAACTGGCAGCTGCCTAGTGCCACCCAGTTTGGCGAACTGGTGAAGCCGAAAGCAAAGGTGCAGCACTGGGAGCTGCAGACGGATGGCAGGGACGTGGGCATCCCCGTCCAGGGGAGGTGGCTGTGCTGAGGCTCCTGCAGTGGCCTGCACCCCCCACGCTGGCACCACACACCCCCTCACGAGCCCTGGCTTTCCCTGGCAGTGTCCCAGATTGTCACCCAGGATTACTGTGATGCCATGGAGCAGCTGGAGCTGGAGCAGGACCTGCGCCTGCACGCTGAAGCCTTCGCCCATGAGGTACATCTGGGCCTCGGGTCACTCTGACGGATGGCAGGGACGTGGGCATCCCCGTCCAGGGGAGGTGGCTGTGCTGAGGCTCCTGCAGTGGCCTGCACCCCCCACGCTGGCACCACACACCCCCTCACGAGCCCTGGCTTTCCCTGGCAGTGTCCCAGATTGTCACCCAGGATTACTGTGATGCCATGGAGCAGCTGGAGCTGGAGCAGGACCTGCGCCTGCACGCTGAAGCCTTCGCCCATGAGGTACATCTGGGCCTCGGGTCACTCTCCCCATGGGTGCTGGAGGGGGAGGGAGGGCATCCACGGAGGGTGGGAAAGTGGGGTGCAAACACCCCAATCCTTATCTCCCTGCTGGCTTAGCCCTGAATCCCTGGAGGATGGGGATGCTCCTGGACACCCGTTGCGGTCCCTTGGGATGAGGTTGGACGGGTTGTACTCCCAGCCTCCCCTGAAAGGGCTTTTCTCTCACTGGGGTGAGCCCGGGGGCTCAGTCCCTCCCTGACCCCCGTCCCCATGGGCAGATGCTGGTGCAAAAGAAGGAGGCCAACAGGCAGAGCACGATCCTGCTGCAGAGCTCAGGGCCCAATGCCCAGCTGATGGCAGCCCTGCAGGAGGTGGGACGCCTGACCCGCTTGCTGGAGGAGTCCAGGCAGGAGCAGCAGCAGAAGGTAAGGAGCTGTCCCTGAAGGTGGGTGACCTGGTTTGGGGAGCAGGGCTAGGGCATGGCACAGCTCCAGGGCTGCTGGTGGATTCCCCTGGGCACGGGAACTGGCTGCAATCAGGATCAGATCCCTCCATCACCCCCTCCATGCCCATCCTGTGCTTCGTGCCACAGCCTGGAGAGGTTCTTCTTCCATGGACTTCCACTAGCACATTTTGGGTGCCAGGGAGAGGGCCCCACACTGGGGTAGCACCCCCCAGCTCACCAGGCTCCCACCACCCAGCCAACTGCCCTAAAATTAGCTTCGAGACCCTTGCAGGCAGCCAAGTTGTGGTGCTGTGAGATGGCACTGGGAGGGAGGGGGCAGCTCCTGGGCTGCACCCAGCTCCCTCTGTCCCCCTGCTCCCGCAGGTGAAGGAGCTGGAGGAGCAGTTGGGAAGGCGGCCGGAGCCAGAGGAGCTGGATGAGGCCCAAGCTGCCCTGGCCAAGGCTGAGGCTGAGAATGGACAGCTGACAAAGCAGCTGCAGGAGGCTGAGGGGCGGCTGGTGGAGTTGGAGAAGGAAGGTGGGTGGTTTCCCCCCTGCCTGACGCAGGCAGGAGCCCGCAGCGGTGCCGGAGGGATGCCCACGGCGCTGCCTGCCCGTGGCCGGGGGTGGGCTCGGACTCTGAGCCCACACAGCTCCAACTGCCCCCTGTTGCAGTGGGGTCACTGAAGGAGAAGCTGGCCCGGGGTCCATCACCGCAGAGTCAGCCCCCTGAGCCGGTTGCGCCTGCTCCACCGCCGCCACCACCACCGCTGCCACCACCCGCACCTACTGTCCCTGTGGAGTAAGTGATGCCACCGGACATCCTGGTCACCTCCTGCAGAAAGCAGCTCTGGCAGCCCAGGGGCTTCCAGCTTGTCTCTGCTGTAGTAAATAAGCTGGGATGGGGCCAAACCATTCTCCCCCCCCACTGCTCTTACCCGCTATGCCAGGCTGTCCCCGAGCTGTGCCTGGCATCGTCCCTGGCAGGAGGTGCAGGGCATGGGGCAGAGCTGGCTGCAGGGACCAGACCCCGGCAGGAGGTTGGGGAGGGTGAGGTGGGCCTGGCTCTGAGCCGGGGGTAGGGGGAGTCTCCAGGCAGCTCCTTGCTGGAGGGGCAGTGGGCAGGGTGGGCATCGTGTCTGGCTTTTTGCGGGTGAGGGGGGTGAGTTGGATGGGCTCTCACCTCCCCTCTTCCTCTTCCTTCCAGCCCGCTCTTGGCAATCAGGCAGAGGAAAGGGATGGCAAACCTGCAGCGCAGTAAGTCCCCACATGCTGTCCTGCTGCACCCCCGGGATGGGGGGTCCTGGTACTTTGGGGGCTCCCCTGGGCATGGGGCTCATTTCTCTGGGATGAATGCTTGCCACACTGGTTCAGGCATCTCCCATCCATCCAAAAGCGTTGCTCCAAGCTCCCACTGGGAGGTGATGGGCACACTTCCTGCCCCCCCTTCCTCAGAGGAGGGTGCTTAGGTCCTAGCACCCTTGTCCTGCCTGGCATGGGTGGGAGATGAGCCCTGGCAGGGTCATCGTGGCCAGGTTTGGCCTCACGGGAGGGACCTTGGGCATGAGGGGAGCTGCAAGAGGGTGGCAGCTCCCCACCCCAGCAAGGACTGAGCCCTGTCATGAGTGTGTGGGGTCTCTGCATGGTCCTCCCTACGCAGGCAAGCCAGAAGCTGATGATGCTAAAGCTCGAGCTGTGCAGGAGATGATGGAGCGGATAAAGAACGGGGTGGTCCTGAGGCCCGCCAAGGAGCGGGTGCCACGGGGCCAGGTAGGCAGGGACTGGGGCTCGGCTGCTGCCAGACACCCCCATCCTGTGGGGGAATGTCCTCGGGGCGGGTTTGGGGAGTGTTGGCAACCCCAGGGAGCTGCATCTCCTCCCTCTCCTCCCGCAGGGTCCGGCAGCAGCAGCCAGCAAGCGGAGAAGCGCGGCGATGGAGCTGCAGGTCATCCTGGTGAGCAGCCCTGTCCCAAGGTCACACCAGGCCACCACATAGGCACCTGGGAGCCATTGTTCCCAGCTGCAGCCATCATGCATCGGGCTATGTCCTGGCTGTCCCAGTGCCTGGAGGTGATCCCTCAGCCTCTGGGCTCTGTGTGGTCTTTCCTAGGGTGCCACAAGGAGGGCGAGCAGGAGGACCAGCGGGCGGAAAAGCAGCCTGAAGGGCAGGGACAAGCAGCTGGAGGCCATCCTGCAGCGGCGGCGCCGGGCGGTGGATACCTCTGCACCCGCACTGCCTGCCCCCCCGCCTGCCCCCCCACAGCAGGACCATGGGGATGCCGGGGCTGTGGGGAGGCCAAATACTGGTACAGAATAGGGCTTGGTGGGGAGGGGATGGTGGGGCTCCAGCTGGATGTCCTCCTGTGGAGGTACAATGTCCCTAGAGACCAGCACAGAGGTGACACCCACACGTGTCCCCTCGCTGACTCACCGTGAGCCTGACTGGTGCTCTGCAGTCCCATCCTGTCACCGTTGTGGGTGACAAGCTGTGGGGCGATGACACGGGTCCTCACAGACTCTGCTCTTGCTCTCACCCCACTCCATGTCTCTTCTCTATCTCTCTGTCTCTTCCCAGGGAACAAGGACATCAGGACAGCTCCATCCGGGAGCGAGGATGGGGTCCCATTCAGACGCCGGGCAGGGGGTGGCCTGCCCAAGACCCGGCCACCTTCCCGCCTGTCCGCAGGCAGGGGGGAGCCAAGGTAGAGGCAGCTGCCCACCGCGCTGCCCTTCGCCCAGCATCACCGGAGCTGCACGGCCATGGCGGGGCGAGGAGGGGGCATGGCGGCAGGGACAAGTGCTGCAGGCTTTCACCCTGGTTTTCCAGCAGCTTGCAGCCTCTTGTGCTTTAATTAAAGTGAGGTGGCACTGGGTCCGTGCATGCCATGTTGTCACTAGGAAGGGCACATCTGATGGGTGAGGGGGTGGCAGTGGGACGGGACTGGGGGTGGCAGTGGGATGGGACTGGGGGTGACATGGATGGCAGTGGAGCTGCTGCAAGAGATATTGTGGGACCAAAGCAGGGCACCCACTCTCCTGCCACCCTCGGGTGCCCAGCAGCTGGGCAGGGATGCACATAACATGGCACTTACCTGCAGCAAGGAGAATATTTGCGTCTTCCACTCACCCTTGCAGTCTGAGGTCTCCACATCTAAGGTGGAAAATGGCGACCAGACCCCTAAACAAAGGGACCTGGACACCTGTCTGTGCAGAACAAGCTGCAGTGTCCCCACACTGCAATCCCAGTCCCACTCTGCTGGAGATGCCCAACTGTGGCATGGGTTCTGTGCCAACAGTGCTGGTCAGGAGGTGAGAAACCCCTCTTGGTGCCAGCAAAGCCCCCTGGAAAGCTCTGAGCTCTGACAGAGCCCCTTAGGAAAGCCCTGACAGACGTGGGGGGCTGGGAACCATAGGTTTGCAGATGGGGACCTCCATGGTGACCCTCCTCTGCAGCTTTTGTCTCTTGAGTAGGACACTGGGGAGCGGGACCTAAACCTCCTGCTTCTGGTGAAGGAAACTCCTCAGACCCCTGAAGGTCTCAGGTTTTCCTTTGGAGGCTGGCTGAGCTGTCGCAGCCCCCACAACCCCGTGGGCAGCCCCTGCTGGGGCAGCCCCATCTCTGCAGGAAAGGTCCAGCCCCAGGAAGGGCTCACAGGGCTCTGGTGGGACTACACTCTCCACCTACCTTGCCGAGGCATTCATGTTGGCCATTCCTTGGTTCCTGGAGGAACATGGTCTGGTCAAATCCATGTCTCTGATACTTGGATGTCAGGGAGCACCTGAAACCCAGCACTCCTTGGCAGCAGTTCAAGGGTGAACTGTCCCTCCAGACACGGAGCTCGAAGGCTGGGGTCCCCAGAGAGCCAGCAGACCCTTATTCACTCGAAGGGATGACATTCTCCAGCCTATGCTTGTTTTTAAGCATTGGGGTCTATGGTTTTTCCCCTTGAGCTCCTGGCTCTATGAGCTGCTTTCAGAGATTTGCTGCTCCGGAGGAGCTGTGAGGCTGTTCCCAGTCCAGGGAAAGGCATCTCTGTATTTAGGTAATTGGAGGAGAAGAGCACGAATCTGCTCCATGGGGTCACCCTCCCAAGCACCCCTGGTCCTAGGGCACCTATAGGTGCGCCCTTGCTCTGCCAGTGTCCCCCTGTCCCCTCCCCTCTCCCTGCTGCAGCCCGTTTCAGGGGTGTTTCGAGTGCTTTAAGGCAGTTCTTCACCTACAGCAGCAAAGTGAACAGCTTTGTACAGCCCAGCTTTGAACTTACCCACCACAACTTCAACACCACCCAGCAGGAATCCCCGGCGATGCTGGAGCATACTGGGAGGCAGGGGGTAAGCACTGCTGGGACGTGAGGGTTTAAGGGCTGGATTCGGTGGCAGCAGCACCGCTCCCGAGCTCTGCCATGCCCATCCCTCAGCCCTGAGGAGCTTTCAAGCCACGGCTCTTCCTTCTAAACCCAAAGAACAACAAAAGCATTAATTTAATTGTGGTTTCTCCAGCTCTGCTGCCTTGTTGTGGGCAGGAGATGCCAAGCAGGGGAAAGCATCCTCATCCCTTGCACCAAATGCTTAATTAGCTAGAAGGCTAAACCAGGGCTGCTCAGCCCCGGGGGACAGGTAGGGTGTGGGCAGGACCCTTTCTTTTCTAAATAGTTTATCCAGTTGTGTATGGGAGCAATCAGGGGCAGCCAGGGCTGTGGCTGCTCCTGAGCATCCCCCTTCCACGCTGCATCTCCTTCCAGGAGTTAATTATGCTCCCCGTTAAAAATGCACGCCTTGGTTGCAGTCTGGATTTATGTACCTTCCACTTCCAGCCAATGATCTCATGAAGCCTTTTTGCAATAATTAAAGAGCTGTCTGGGATCAGACCGAATGGCCCAAAGGAGTAAGGACATGCCAGGAAACCTGCTCCACTGTCCACGGTGGCATCGGAGAAAGGGCGAGCTGTTTTTGATGGACCCAAGGAGGGGACAAGGCCTTTCCTGGGGGATCTGCAGTGGAACCCCCTCCCCGTTCCCTGGGGACAGCCAGGACAGGTTACTGTCTTACAGCACTCCGTCTCTCGGCTTTTTTTAATACACTTTCTTTCTCCTTCTCCAAGGCGTAGACAACTTGAACTAAAATATTTAAAGCAAGGAGCTTATCTTTCTAATTACCCAGCGTTTCTTGTCCTGGCCTTTCGATTCTCCAGACACCTGAGGGCTGCCATGTGGAAAGCAGACACGGAAAGGCTGCTCGCGAGACGTACAAGCTCACCAGACTAAAGGATGAATGTCAGCTTGTTGAACAGATCCTCTTACTGGAAAAGAAGGCGAGAGCCGCAGGGACCACAGTGCTGGGACCATCTCAACCAGTTCAGAAAGCCCAGGGAGGCTGGAGCCAGCCTTGTCCCCTCGGCTCCTCTTTCCCTGGCCAAAGCTGGATTTCTCCAAATCCAGCTTTTTTGGGTGATGCCCATCACCAGGGACCCGGCCCCACCTGCCTCTCACGCTTCGATCCCTGCCAAATTGGGCCTCTCCCACGCAGCCCCTCGGCGCCGTCAGGGGAAATGCCGCGTCCCGAGCACGGTTACTCATCGGCCGCCTGCCCTTTCCCACCGCCGCGCTGCCCGCTCCCTATCGAGTGAATTCCTCTCCCCTGATTACACCCTCCAAACACCCATGAAAATCAATGCCGGCGCCGCTCCCGCGGGACGGGAAAGCCGTGCCCCCGCCGGCTGCGCCCTCCCCACGCCGCCAGGGCCACCGCAGCCGGGGGAGAGCCGCCGAGCAGAGACGCTGGGGAGGCCAGCTGCCTATTAATACACACCACTCTTAAATACTTAATCAAAGTGGTAATTTACACTTCGTTTTAAGCTGGAGCTTCTCGCACCCCGTGTGGGTGAACTCCGGAGCATCCTTGCCTCGTTCCAGTGAAGAACGAGAGATTTTACATCTTATTCACCAGACTTCGTGGGGTCCCCGTGTTCCAGGGCAGGGGGTTTGACTGAAGCAGGGCTCCTGTGAGAGGGTGTGTTTTCAGGAGCCAGCCCCAAACCTCTCTGCCGGGGAGCCAAGCACGGTCCCCGCAGCCCCCACAGCCCCCCACAGCGTTACCTTCTCCCCACACAGCAGGAGCCTCGAGGGAGGGGGCTTTTTCTGATGCTCGCCTTTTAAATATTTATAGGGTTTCGCTCGCTATCATCCAGTCACTCGACTTATCTGAATCTGGTTCAGCTCAAAGAAATGTGTGTCATTAACATCTTAAACACCCGCTGATCGCAAGCAGTAGTCAGGAAAAATGGACTTGTCATCTGGAAAAACACAAAGTAATCTACCCTCGCTTTCTGGCTAAGTGAATGGGAAAATGAGGATTAAAACGATGTGGTAGAAGGGACATTAAAGCTACTGATCTCCCCCATTTACATCTTGTGCCCTCGTCCAGTGGCAGACAAGTCCTGGGGCTCTGCTTTTACCGCAGTACCCTGCAGAAGAAAGGGTTCAGACCCTGGGGCCAGCCCTCCATCGTGCCCCGCTCTCCCTGTCGTGGCAGTGACAGCTCTCAAGGAGTTTGCCATCCCTCCTGCATCACATTCAGAGAGACAAAACTAAATTTAAACCCGACCCAAGGCTGATGAGAGGCATGGTACTTACCCTGCCATCCTCAGCCGTGCCCCACACGCCATACTGCCCCAGCCCAGGGGGCTTTGCCTCGCTTGCCACCCCCGGCCAGCAGATCTCACTGCCCTGACCCATCTGGCTGCGCCCGAGGCGATGGAAACTGTTAAACACAGTTTGGAGCAGAGCTGTGAACACACATCCAGGAGCTTCCCAGCAGCCTGCCACACTGTCCCCTACTCCTCAGTGCCACCCCCAGCATCCACCTCCCTCCTTCATGGCAGAAACCTAATTTTCAGCCTAAATTTGGTCAAGCTTAAACCTCTCCATCAGGGACATCAGGAGCAAAAGCATCTGCCTCTTCCTTCTCCTCACCCAGAAGTCCAGGCAAGGGACAGAGTGTGAGACCAGTGTCCCCCACCCTGTGGCCTTGAAGCAAAATTACAGCACCCGTGGTGGGAAGCAGCTTTTTCAGGAGCTTCCCAGTGCCATGGGCAAGGCTGATGGTGTTACTCCCTGCTCCTAACCCCTCTGCTTTGCTCTCAGTGCTTTTACCTTCATTTCTCTGATTCCCCGATAACAAAAGAGCTTGGTACTGAAAACACACACCTCCAGCTAACCCCTCCCGGCACCTCGCAGCTCCCAAGGCCTTTGTGATATGCCTTCTGCAGCCCTCAGGCTCCCTCGATAGCTCTCTCCATTATTTCTCTAAAAACATAGTCAGCATGCACAGAGGGCCATCTCCTCACGCGACAACGACTCAACACAGGAGCAGAATGCTGGCGAGCCAGAGGGACAACACTGCATCCAGCCTCTCTAATAAGGAGGACTTCACCTATAGCCTTTATTAGGCGAGTAGCTCTCAAACAGAAACCACACTTCTATTATATCAGCATCAAAACGCGCCAGTGTCCGCGGGCACTGAAGAAACCCAGGGACAAGAAGGGGTGCAGTGGGACCATGTGCCTCACCTTTGCCTTCAGCCAGAACTGGCCAGAAGAGAAAAATGAGCCATTTTCCTGAGAAATTCCTCAAAAAGCCTTCCCAACCCATGAAACTGTGCTGCCACAGCCAGGCGTTCCTGTGCTACAGCCATGCACAGCCTGGGCTCCTGGCTTTCATAGGGACATCTAGTTCTGGCACAAGCTGAAGGTAACCAACAACAAAGCAAAAAAGGGAGGGAGGGAGGGAAATCCTTATAATTACAAGGAACAAGAACAAAGCATTCATCTCTTTCTCAGTATGATTTTTCTCCTTTCAGGAAAGGAGGGAGTGCTGGTGAGTTTAGCAGCACTGGGAACGCTAAGCAGACACCCCCAGGAAGCCGAGGTGACTCGCTCAGCGTCTCGCTGCCCTCACACCTACACACGTGGAGAATCACTCTCCATCCATCGGCTTCCTGGGGTCTCACTCAGCCATCCAGCACTGCCACAGCACCCCAGCCACTCAGCGAGGCTTCCAGCAAAACCAGAGAAGAGAGAAGTGGGTATTTCCAACATTAAAATCAAACAAAAAGAGACACCGAGTCCTTCCAGGTCACCTCCCTGCAGCCGCAGAGCGCAGGGAGAGGCGCCCGCCCTTACGCTCCCTTCCCGAGGTGTGCTCTGCAGGGGACACCAGCATCCTCCAACGCTGGCAGGCTCCCAGCGGGAATACGTGGGAGTTCACCAGTTTGGTTACTTTATTCTCTCTTTTCTTTTTTAATTAATGGCTCCGTGTAAACCTCAGTTGAATGTGAAGCACGTTCTGCTGCCACACCGAGGGAATGGTTCCTCCCTCCCCAGCCAAACTACACCAAGTACAAACTCCTGGCTTCAAATGACTCCCAGCAAATGACAACACCTCCCAGGTCCCCGAGCGGAGCTGGCAGTGCCAGGAGGCCAGACCCTCCTTGTGCTTGGCTGGAACCAAACATCCTTTTTGCACACAGTCCCGGGGGATCAGCAGGGCTGTATAAAAAGGCGTGAGCCCTCCCCGTGTGTCTGTCCAGTGCTGCTGGCACCTCCGGCCATCGTCCAGTTTATCCGTTGCTAACAAAAATCCCTTTGAGAGAACATGGAGGAAGGCTCAAGCGAGGCCTGGGGACAGTGCTGCCTCACAGCCCTCTGCACAGTTTGGGTCTGCCCTGCTCCTTCACCGCAGCCGACGCCGGCTGCATCCGGGGCTCAGTAAATCTTCTGTCGGCTGGGCAGGATGGCCTCCTTGATGAAAGAGAAGATGAGGAGGATACCGGAGCGCTTGCCCCTCTTCCCCTTGGTGAAGTAGTTGGAGACCACGTCGTCTGTGGAGAGAAGGGAAGAACAATGAAATGCAAACCTGCTGACAGTCAAGGGAACACTGGGACAGGATGTCTGACACTTGAGCTGCCCTGTCTTTAAAGTACAAAACTTTCTGGGTTGTTCAGATCTGGACATTCCTGGAAGCCACTGCCAGAAGCCCAAATCCTGAGCTCCCTTTTTTTGGAGCTGTAGGGAGAGTTCAGGGAAAGCAACAATGTTCCAGGACTGGAGAGATGCAGGATGTAAAGATGGAACAGCCTTCTGCTCTGCTCACCCTCACCCTGCAGAGGCCCTGCCTTTCCTGCCTGGGCTTTTGGAAGGATTTACCCGACCAGCTGCCCCCGCTCCCTCCTCAGTGCAGCACGAACGGGGTGTGTTGAGCACAGCCCCTGTCAAACACCAGCGGATGTCTGCCCGGGCCTCGGTTGTACTCACCTCCTGGCTGCACCGTGGAAGGTAGGACATTCTCTCCGGCCGACAAGGAGACAAAAAAAGCAAAAGGAATTAACCAGAGGCAGAATGTGAAGTAGGCGAGAACCTGCAGGCAGACCAAGAGAGGCAGTGAGAGCAGAGCCACGATGCACTCAGTGACCTTTTACACACTGATTCTGTCTGGGCTGACACCCCTGAGCACTGCCTCGGCCCCAGCTGTACCTCCCTACGATACACCCCAAGTTTCTGCCTGAACCCCTCATGAGAAAGGACTCTGAAAGGGGAGAACTGCAATTCAACCTCTCCCCAGTCTCTTGGGTGCTGAGATAGTGGTGCCCTGTGAAGCTGATCAGGTGTTAGAACTCACCCAGCAACTTCCAGGGAAGGACAGAGTGCACAGGAAAAGCCCTCGCTCCTGTCCCAAGTGCCTGAAAACCTTTACTGCTCCCAGAAAATAGAATTTTAAACAGCACAAATACACAAACAGGAAACTGGCTGTGCCATTATGACTAAATAAATCCTCTTCACACCTTCCAGGGACTAAAAGGAAGAGTCAAGACCTGGGCTGGCTCCTCCTGTCCTGGGGAGAGACGCTGGTGTAGCATAAGGATTGGGTGCTTGGGGGAACAGCCACTGCTGTGGTTTGGGGAGAGAAAAACATTTTCTGCACTTAACATTTATATTTGTTCTGCTCTCCAGTTGGCTTAGAAAGCCCCAGATTTGCACCCAAGAAAAGAAACTGCAGCTTCCCTGGTAGTTCTGAGGGAACCAGCACAGGAACCCCCAGGGAAGGGCTGCAAAAAATACCCTCAGTATGTCCTACTGCTGACTGAAAAAAAAAAATGGCATTTTTCTCTCCCTCCTCCCACCAGCAGCTCCACACTGGCTGGAAGAACATGGACCAACTCCTTCCCAAAGGTCTCTCACCTCAGAGAACAGGTAATACTCCTCAGCGAAGTACTGGAACGCTAAGTAGTGATTGAATATAACCAGCACTGCCAAAGAAAAACACAGCAAAATCAGTCTCCAGTCTGGAAGCAATACTGTTGGCTTATTTCAAGGTCCCTGAAGGAGGACATCCACTTCTGCTGCTGCAGACAAGGAGCAGCTCCTCCCTGCCACACATCCCCTTCCCTGCAGCCCCTCTACACCTGGAATCCTGCTGTGACTAAAATATGCTCATGCATATAGTGAGAAATGGTGTGAGCAACCAAAGTCTCCCCATCCTAGCTCCGTTTCGTTACTCTGTGCAGCCCCGGGTAAGTCCTTTGTCCCTCTGGTGCTTTATTCTCTGTGTCCCCGAGGGCACCCGGGAGAACCCAGCCTGACACTTGCTTATGCTGCTCAGCACTGAGAGAAGCAGTGAAAAATCCCGTGCCCCTGACAGCTGCTGCGGAGAGAAACTCTTCTGCCATCTGTAAACCAAGTCAAGCTGAAATGCGGCCAGGACAGTAGGGTTAACACTGTCCTCAGCAGTGAAAAACACCACTTGGCTCTTAAGGAACAGGAATCAGGGCTTCTTTTGCCTTTTAGCCGAGATACCAAGGCAGCAACCCCAGCCTGGGAGCACTGGGTCAGTGCAGCCCCAGCAAGACACAATCCCAACACAAAACGCTGTGTCCTGCGCTGCTTTATCCTGCGCTCCAGCCTAAGGATGTAACTGAAGATCCAGATGAGAGGCTGGGTCTGCCAGAAAACGCAGCTCCTGATCCACACACCACAGGAGAGCTACACTCATTTTCAAGGAGCGGATAAAATCCTGCCTACGTGAATATTTTGAGGAGCAAACACATGCATATTTCACGGTGCTGTCTAAGGACTCCAAAAAGTCATGCTATAAAAAAATTTGCCTGTTTGCTACTTAAGGTGTCACTACAAATCACTCATAGCAGAGATCTGAAGTCAGACCTCTGCACAGGACACCAAAACATGCAAGAGACTCAGCAACTCACAGTGAGAGGAAACCATTATACCTATTTGGAGCAGCCAAAACCCAGTTTAATTGGCAGACCTACTGGCCCACCGCCCCAGACCCAGCAGCAGACCTACTCCCAGGCTCAGCCTTCGACATAGCTCTAGCCGTTCATCAGCCAAGCGCAGCAGACAAACAACTAAGCTGCTTTGGCCAAAATGTTGCTGCTGCTAATTTAAGCCTTTGACCAACCTCACGGCACAATGCTGTGCCTGTGCCAGCAGCTCAGAAGAGAGGAGTGTGCCCCTTGTGCCCATCTCACAGCCCAGGTGCGGATGGAGCCACAGCAGCCACAGGCTCGGCAAATACCACAAGAAAGGTGCAAACGTGAAAAATAAAAATCTTTGATTTAAGCTTGGCAATGCACTTTTCTAACAGGACTTTCTTCAGTAACCCTGATGAGTTTCCACATCAATTGTGGACATTTGTCTCAAAGCTTTTCTTTCTCTAAACATCAGCTCCTTATGACAACACACACACACACACTGTCTCACACAGCCCAGCCTGACATCAGGCTGTACTTACACACACCAGGTTTTTAAAGTTGCTTCAAATCCTTCGTGCTCTTTACTAAGACCCAGTGAACACCCAAAACAGGTCTGCGGGGAGGAGGCCAAACTTTGGGCCAGCCAGGATCTCGTTTCCCCAGTGCTGCTGCCTGAGTTTGGAGCGGAACTGGTCGTAGGGTGAAGCAGATGGTGCCCAGGAAAGCCCAGTGTCCCCAGCACTGTGCTGGGGCACGCAGCCACAGGCACTTCCCAACCACCAGGCCCAGCCCACAATTATCACAGCCGTATCATAAAGCACGATTAAGAAGTACCACACAAAGCTCAAAGTCCTTCTGAAAGCCACGGGGGCTACAACAGCAAAACCTAAACCTTTGCTGCCACCCAGAGCCCACTCAGTGATGGGAGTGACGAGGACTCCTCCGTCCTAGAGCCCACTCCCACCCCAGTGCCCACTCCCACGGGAAGGCGATGGCCCCACTTACCGCAGGACAGTATGAAATTGGAGGACGTCAGAACAATGAAGGGGAAGGTCTGCAGCAAACCAAAGTAGACCAGGTTGGTGAAGAGCCCCACGCCCACCATGAAACCGGGAAAGTGTTCGAAGAGGTAGAGGCAGACCAGCACGCCCGAGGAGAACTGGAAGAGAGAACAGGGGTTGCCTGGGGTAAACACAGGGGTGTGGACAGCAGGACCGTGGGCAGCTTCGCAGGCAGAAATCCTGCCATGTTCAAGGTGACTTTTAGTGCACTCTGACGGCACCACATCTCTCCACCCACCTCCCACTCGGCACCAGCCCCTTGGGAAAGGTCTAAGCAGGAAGGGCACCTTGCTGCTGCGGCACCTGGTAGGACATGCAATGGCTGGGCCTCAGTTTCCCGAGCCAGCAGCAAGAGAAGTTGCCCAGGGGAAATTAGGCAGGATCAACGTCTCCCCAGTTAAGTGAGATGCTGATCGAAGCAGCCTCTGTGAACCTCCCTCCTCGGGAGACGGAGCTGCCTTGGGGCCAGGGGAAGCAGGCATTTCCCAAGCGCTTGACCTCTCTGTCCAGAGCCAATGTCCTATGCCCCAGCTACTCTGCCAGCCCCACTGCTGCCCTAGGGATGATTTTGGCAAGGAGCCACCCGTTTTTACAAGCACAGTGACTTACCCAGATCATGTATTTGATTATCCTCCTGGTGACAACCGTGTACTCCTCAATCAGCTCCGCCAGGTAGTACAGCCCTGCAGCTGTGGGAGAAATGCCTGGCTCAGCCCCACAGACTGGGAGGCACTGGGGCAAACACTGGTGCATTCAGCCGTGGGGGGTGGTCCATGCTCAGTCTGGGAGAGACTGCAGGACAGGGTGTCCCCGAGCAAATCTCCACGGAACCCAGGGGACCTCGGGGGCACCCAGGGGACCCCCAAACTCTGAGGCTTCCACAGGACCTCAGGGGCACTCAGGAGACTCGTGGGCACCCACGGGACTCACCCCGATCTCTGGGGCATCCACAAGATGTCGGGGGGGAAGCCGAAGCCTCTGGGGGACCCAGGGAACCCGCAATCCCTGGGGCACCCACAGGGCCTCGGGACACCCCGGCCCACGGGAGGTGCTGGACCGGCGGCCCCGAACCTGAACCCGGTCCCAGCAGGAGCCCAGACTGTCCCTTCCCCGGGGCCGCCCCCCTACCGACCTGTCGCCACGGCCCCCGGGAGGAGCCTGCGGCCGCCTCCGGGCCCCCGCGCGGCAGCAACCCCTGAGGGGCCCGGCCCCTCGGTAGACACCCCTCCTTCCCCCCCAGCGGCGGGCTCACCGATCGCCAGGGTGACGAAGGCCACCTGGATGAGCAGGGACAGCCAGCTCAGCACGTAGATGAACCACATGGCGGGGACAGGCCGGAGCGGGCCGGGCCCCCCCCCTCCCGGTTCCTGCTCCCGCTGTGGCGGGGGCCGCGGCGGCCCCCGG